TTGCTGATATGCTCTGATTGTCTTTCCGTCCTGGTATTAAGCTCTGCCCCATTCTTTTCTCTCAGTGTCCCCAGAACTTAAAACATGGCCTGGCACACAGAAGACATTATGTTAATATTCACTGGCCAAATGAAAGAATGAGCAGCTGCCTAAAATCGCATAGTCTGGAGAGGTCCTAATTATATCACAGCTTTCCTGGTGGACAGTTAGCTTGGCTGTGCTGCCCACCCCACTCAGGCCTCTTTGCACCCTATTAAGAGGACGTCTATAGGAAAAATCCCTGGATGAGGAACTACTGGGTCAAAACTTTGATCACTATTGCCAAAAAGGCAGAGCTGACCTACTCTCCCCGGCTGATGTGAGGATCCCAGTCTCCCACACCCTCTGACACATAAGGCTTTATTATGACGACGACTTTTATTTCTCAAATGGATTGACTTTATTTAGTGACTCCACCTTCGATCATCAAATCTCCCTTTGTCTCCCTTGAATCAAGAAGATTCATTTTATTATTTCTGAGCAGCACAAATGGAGAGCTACCCTCTAAGACAGTAAACAGAAACAGTTACAGATACAGAATCTAAAACATCTCATTCATTTCTAAATAGACATGTTATTTTTTTAAACCATCATATTCAAACAAGCATCCATTGAACCCTCCCCCAAAACAAGACAAGAGAAAATGAGGACCCCCTACACTCCCTCCCCTACTCTATCCCTCCCCATCCCAGTCTAGGGGACCAGATTTAGCAAATAAAATTACAAGACACCTAAACAAATGAAATGCAACAAATGCAACAAATGGTCATTTTAGTACAAGTATGTCCCCCTTTGGGTGGTGAACACTATCTGTTGCCCCAGCTGTTGGGTGCTGTCCGCACAGGACCCTCGCTGGCAGCCCTTTCAGAGATCACTGCTACTGCAGAGCCATGTGTCAAGGGCATACCCAGTGCCTGGTGGGTGCTGAGGTCTAAAGACCTGACTATTCCAGGCAACTTCTGCTCTAAAGGGCCACTCTAGCTCCGGAGTGCCATGGGTCTGAGGTGTCCCGATAGGCCTACGTCAGAGCCCCACCGCCCCGTCTGCTTCCTTCCCCTGCTGTCCACAGGTGAGGCTTGGGGTTTGGGGACCACTCCTCCCCTGCACACTAATCCCCACATCTACTTCCTGGGACCCTGACCTGCCCCACCAGTCCCTAGCTTCCCCCTCCATTCCACTGGGCTGGAAACCAGTCCCAAAGTGCCCACAGCAGGCAGGTCTGGCCCTGGCTAATGGGTTTTCTTTATTTGGCTTTCCAGTACATTCGAAATTTTCCACAACAAACATGTATCACTTTGGTAATAAAAAAATAATAATAAAAGCTTTCTTTTTTCTTTAAAAAAAAAAATCTGAAACCAAAACAAGCAGGCCTCTGGCCAGCCAAGTGGCGCGTTGGTTAAGAGTTGGCTTGGGACACCAGCTCTGAGCAGCAAGGCCCTGGTTCAGATCCCACATGAGGGCCTGTGACGCTGCGCCCTCTACAGCTAAGATGGTGAACAACAGCTTGACCTGGAGCTGGGCTGCCCTGAGTCGCCAGCGATGGTGTAGGCTGCAGTGAAGCTGCAGTGGGATGCCATGACTACCGTGAGTGGCTGGGAGCCAGCGTGAGCTGCCAAGAGCCACTGTGAGAGGCCGTCCAATGGCCAGCAACCGATCTGCCTCACCAGGGAAGAGCACAATGATAATACCAAATGGGCCAGTGAAGCGACCCTCCACAACTAGACTGAAGAACAAAAGGACAGCACCTTGTCTGTTCCCCTCCCCCAATTCCACAATAAAATCTTAAAAAAAAAACACAAGCAGGCCTCATCCACCTGGCACCCCTACTCCTCCCCCATGGCTCCCACCTGCTTCCCCAGGGAGGGTTTCCCCCACCCCAAATGCCCTCCCCTGTCCTGCCAGGCCCACAGACAGTTTCACTTCTCCCCTGTAGGCATCTAGTACCAGCTTGCTCCTGCTGGGGGGCTATATGCAAATTTGTGGTTCCTCATCTCCTGTTGGGAGAAAAACAATGCTGTGTGCCCCGAGAATGGTCAGGAGAGAAAGTAATGATGTGCACTCACTCATTCTACAAGTACAAGCTAGGGCTACTTGGTGCCAGGCACTGGGGATGCTGGGAATGGGACACGGACCCTGTCCCCACGGATTTCCCAGCCCGGGGTGGGGGCAACAATCAAAAGTCCCAGAGGATCTTGTGAGAGGGGAGGTGCGCAGGCTATGAAGGAGGGGGCTCCCAGCCCAAGCCCAAGCTTCTGGAAGGAAGGGAAGCCTTTCTGAAGCCTCAGAGCGTGAGGAGCATGTAAAGAGGAGGGAGTGTTCTAGGCAGGGGAACAGCCTGTGCAAAGGACTGCAGGTGAGAGAAGAATGGGTTATTTGAGGAACTGAAAAGGTTAGAGCAGCAGGAAGGCAGAGGGAGGGTGAGAAGGAAGAGGAAGTCCAGGCAGGGCCACATTAGGAAGACTGCACTTTGTCCCCAGAGCAATGGGGAACCACTAAAGGATGCAGAGCAGGGGAGTGACAGGCTCAGATGCGCATCTTACAAAGCTTGCTCTCCGGGCTCAATCAGACCCATTGAAATGGGCGTTATTATGCTGAGCATCCACAGCTGTCACAGTCACACTTAATCATGCACATACTACCTACTGTGCAGGGACTTGAGCCATGGAGTGCCTGAAGCCTGTATCTCCACAGAGACAGAATGTCCCCATCAGCTAGGTCCATAGCCCTCTTGATCTTGCAATAGGGAATACAGGTTAAGAGCATTGACTCTGGAGCCTAGGTTCAAATCCTTACTCTTCCACTTTCAAACTGTGTGACCTTGAACAGATAACATATGTGTGTCTCAGTCTCCTCATTTGTAAAATGGGAATAATAATAGTATCCACTGTGAATGGGGCTACCGTGAAGATTGAGTGGGTTAAAAACAGTTGGGATAGGACCTGGCACATGGCAAATGCTGTGTACTGTTAGTTTTTACTGGTACTACTGCACCTCCCCCAAGACCCCCAGGGCCAACCACCTGCAGGCACTAACTAAACCACCTTCCACATGCCTCCCTCTACCCCAGAAATACCTTTCTTATTCTCTCAAGAGGCCAGGACAACAGGAGGAACCTTTGGGCTCTAGGACAACCAGACACTCTGACCTGGGTCTGGGGCCTTGCCCCAGCTCCCTTGAGTCCAGTGGAGAGAGCACTGGACTTGGAGCCGGGGATTGAGTGCCTCCCCTTGCTCTGCTGCTGACCTTCTGTGGGCCTCCATCTCCCCCTCAGTAAGAAGAGGACAAGAACAGCTTGCAGGTGTTTTATCAGCATGGCTGTCAAAGCAGCAACGAGGGCTGGGGAGGAGCTCTAAAAATGTCCATGTCTGTCAAAGACACCAGAACCCTTGGTGGCAGCCTCTTCTTTGGGCCTGGGTTTGCTCCTCCACATAATGGAGTCATGAGATTTGCTCAGAGCTCACTATGAGGACCCCAGAGGCTGAGGATGGCCTGGTTCGGGGCTTGCAAGGCTCCCTATGCTTATCAGGATTTTCCCCCAAAGGCTGGGATAGAGAAACAGAGATCCCCGATTTGAGCCGAGCACCTCAAGAAGAAAGTGCCAACCCAGGGGCCTGAGGAAAGCCAGACCTTCACCCAGGGCCTTCCACCAAGCCTGGACTACATCAGGGCTCTCAAACAAGGGGCCCCAAAAGATCCTGGAGACATGGGGGCTGCGGCGTTTATCCCCAAATGCCAGAGCTGCCTGTCAGCTCTAGGTCCAGGAAGGGCCTCGATGGGGTTGTCTGTTTTGGGTGGTTCTTTGGTCCTGGGGGATGGAAGGACAGCCGATAGGGTGCTCAACCCTCTCCTTCAGGTTGCCAGCTATTTCCCAGAGTTCAAGTTCATTCATTCACTTATTCCCCTAACATTTACTTGGTGCCAGACCCTGGTCAGGTGCAGGGTCGATGACAGAGATGAATCAGACAGATTCCTACCCTGCAGGCACTTCTGGTCTAGAGAGCAAGGAACAAGACATAAATAGCCAAACCACGAGGCAGGCTCGGTTGGAGAACACAGGTAAAGATCTCACCTGGGGTATCAAGGAAGCTGCCTGGAGGGGGCGGCTTGTGAGTGGTGATTTAGGCATGTGATGAGAAGGCCAGGTAGGTGAGGGCTACAACCTCCAAAATCACTGACAGTTCTGTTTGCACCCCACTGTGCCAGAGCCAGGGCAATGTGGGTTATTTATGGTCATGCCCAGAGAAAAGCGGCCACATGTGTCACTGCACGTGGGGTGCAGAGCAGGATGGCGGGGCGTGGGGGGCAGCTGGGGCGTGAAGCTGGTTCTGGCCAAGCCCTGGGGTTTGCCAGCTGTGTCCCTCACACCCTGATGACCTTTTCATCTTTTCATGGCCTCCTGTAAGGCAAAATTAAGGGGGAGAGAGTTCCAACACGCAGCAAGTAGCCTGGGGAGAAGGGCAGTGCCAGTCTTCTGCTGCATCTGCAGGCCATTTATTTAGCAGTCACCTTCTTCTCCTCTGCCCCCTCCCATCCCAGCTGTGGGGGAAGGGGCAGAGGGACAGAAGGAAGTATCTTTAATTGTAAAACCAGACAGGGCATAGAGAGCATCAGCTGCTGTATTTCTCCTCAGTCCACTCTGATCCATAAATGGCTTATGCACCACGCTGGCACCAGCCCACCCACCCCGCTGGTACCTGATCGCCCCAGGCCAGAGGCTCTGACCCCAGGAGCCTAGGTCCCAGCTTCCCAAGGCACCTATTTCCTGCGTTTTCCCCTGGGTAAAGGCCTCTGCCGCCAGTTCCCTCTCCCAAGGGGCGCAGAGCAGGGGCATCCTGGCACTGCCTGGGGGATACCCGCGAACCCCGGCGTTTGCAAAGCACCCCCGGCCGCACGCTCACCTCTCAGCCCCCACCGGGACCCCCCTCCCTCCACACCCTCTATCCAAGGGCCAGACTCCCTACCTGGGGCAGGAGCGCCCGGCACCAGCAGCGGCGCCACGGGGCCTAGCGGGGCGTCTAGGACCCGGTCTCAAGCCAGGAAGACTTCCCGGGGGCCGCCGCCGCCACTGCGTCTCCGGGATCTCGCCTGGGCTGCGGGAAGGAGGAAGGTCAGAGCCGACGGAGGGGGAGGGAGGGGACAGGGAGGATGGAGGAGGCGTGCACAGATGCGCGCAGATTAGAGAGGCATTTTTAGCGAGCCAATGGCGGTAGTCGCAGGGCGGCGCGGTGCCTGCGCAGGTGGAAGCGCCGCGGCTGCCGAGGAGGCAGCCACTAGCTTAACCGACGCGCGGGGAGGGGTAAATTACCCCAGTTCCGCAGCCAGCGGCCTCCTCCAGGGGGTGCTCCCAACCCGGGCAGAGGGGCTCTGCGGCCGCGAGTGCAGGAAGCATCTACGTTGCGCCCTCCTCCCGGGCGCTCCTGCAGGCGCGCTGTGGACCAAGGGTGTCGCTTCCCTCCCCTCTGCCCTTTCCCCACTACCTTGGACATTCCTCCCGCCTGTCTGTCGGTTTCTAGGCTCTCCTAATTCTGCTTCTTACGGTACGTGCGAGTGCGTGTAGGGTGGGTATGTGGGATGTGTGTGTGTGTGTGTGTGTGTGTGTGTGTGTGTGTGTCCGCGTGCGCGCGCTCTGACCCCTCCTCCCCACCACGCCACCCATAACCCCCGTCAGCTTTGCCCAGACGTGCACTATTGACCCTAAAGGGCAATCACTAACCCGCCTGCCCTAGTTCCAGCTGGACCTGCTATCACAAAGGCAGACTCCAGTCCATCTCCTCAGGGATCTCTATGACCCCCAATGGCCTTCACTCTTCCTGCCTTGGACCCTGAATGCTTCCTGGAGCCTGGACACTGCAGGGGGGACTGGTGCAGCTGTCTTCACTGCAGAGACATGCAAGGGGCTGATGATTCATTCAACATCTATCTATTAAGGGCCTACCATGTGCCAGGCACTGAAGAGGGGCTGGGCTACACCACAGTACAAAACAGACCAAATCTCTGCCCTCAGGTTCACCTTTGTGACAGAAGACAAATGTTAGCTATAATAAATATTGGGTTGTCGGAAAAGTCATGACATGTTTTTTCTGTTTTTCGTTGCAAAAATGCGTCATGACTTTTCCCACAACCCAGTAGTATACAGAGTATGTTTTAAAGCGGAATGCATAAAGTAGGAGAATAAAGCTAGGGATAGAAAGTGAGGGTGTTCAGGGTGAGATTAGGTCCTAGCCATTTGTAGGGAGTGGGGGTGGCTGAATTTGATCAGAAGCCCCTCAGATAGGCATGCAGACTCTAGTTTGCCACAGACCTCACCACTCCCTATTGTTTACACCTGGGCTGGTCACACATTTGTATTTCTTGCCTTCATTCTCCATCTCCCCTCGATATTGGCACTGAAATTCATGACCCCAGTGACCCAGGGGAATGCCCAAGTGCAATACTTATTCATTCAAGAAGAATTCTCTGAGCACTGACTGCATGTTAGGTATTAGAGCCTAGAGAAACTCAATACCTAGTTAGAGAAGCCAGATGGCAGTACCCAAAGGATGAACAAGACAGTCAAGTGGGCAACGTCCCTGAGAAGGCGAGAGCATGCTGGGTTACGGCCATCAAGGAAGGCTTCCTGGAGGAGGCAACATTCTTCTAATGGGGTGCTGAATGCTAGCTGGGATTCTGATGAGCCACATGAAGCAGGAGGCAGGGAAGGGTTACTGGGGAAGTCCAGCAAAGCCAGGGAAGTTGGCAGATGACTGGGGTTAGGGTCCTGGAGCATTCCTAGGCACTCTTCATGTAAGGGGTATTCTGGTGTCTGGAACTGATGAAGTCCCACTCCCATCCCCGCCCCAGAAGCTTCTGTTCCCAGCTGAAATTTCCCATTGCCTCAGAAGAAGGCATAATGAGCCTGGGGGCGAGCGAGGTGAGACATAGGCTTCATTCAGTTGCTTTTCTGCTGGGTAAAAATGGGCATGTTACTTAAGCCCTCTGAGGTTCAGCCTCCTTATCTTAATAGCTATGTGACAAGTTTCTTAATTGACCTGTGCCTTGGTTCCGTAGTTTGGAAAATGGACATAGCAACAGCACCTACCTCACAGTTTCTGTGAGTATGACACAAGACAATCCAGGTAAACTGCTTCATACATAAGTGCTCAATTAATTTTATTGTGCTTATTATTATGACAATTACACTTACCTCACAGGGTTGTTGGAATTAGACAAAGGATGTAAGGCATCTAGCATAGTGCCTGGAATCTAATCGGTGTGCATTAAATACTATCTATTATTATCATTAACAACATGTACACCCCCCCTCCCCCAGTCCCTTCCCCTTTGGTCTACTGCAGTGCTGTAAAATTCTCCCTTTAGACAGAACTTTCTTAAAGTGAAGAGGCTAGTTTCCCAAGATGCTTTTCAAGTGTGATCTAGGATGGATAGACTAGAAGACCTGCCCCTCCCCTACTCATATATTAGCCTGGCTCAGCGTGTCATCGGGACTTTGATGCAGGTGGGATGGAGCCCAGGACTGGTGATTTTTCTGAAGGCAGTGAAGTTCATAGCTCAGGATGCTGACTGAGAGAGGACACTTAGGGTCCCGTGACAGCCGGGTATTTGGTGGAGGATGGTGAGAGTGGGAGGGGCACAGGCATTCACAGGGGATGGGGTCACAGTGCGGAGAGCTAAGAGAGGCTGGAGGCTGGAGGTTGGCAGAAACTGGATCTACTTGGGGCAGTTGTGGGGATGGTAATGAGGGGCAGACCTGAATAGGTAAATGATGGAGGGGGGTCAGGTGGTGGGGAGGGGGGGGTGAGGGAGCAGACAAGCTGGGCTTATTTCACCTGGAGTTGAGGTATGCCTGGCATTGAATTCAGACCTTAGCAGCCCCAAGCCCTGAAAAAAATGACAGTGGAACACACACACACACACACACACACACACACACACACACACACACACACACCCTGCCCATGTGTCATCCAAAATTAAATGTTATTTTGGAAATTGACCTACAACTTCCATGCTTTCTAAGATTGAACTAACTTCCTTCTAGATTTTCTGATTGCAAAACTTAATGTTCATCAAACCTGAGCTACCCACCCTCCCTCTCTTATTGTTTTATGCCCTTGTCCAGACAACAAGACTTTCATTTGCATAGCACTTTTCACTTTTCAAACTACTTTTTGCATCTCTTATCTACCCAACAGCTCACTTTTCTTGGTCCCATTAAGTTCTGACCCATCTGGGATTCCATGGGACCTTCCTTTCCATCGAGAGCCACAAGCCATCCCTCTGTCAAAAGCCTCCCCTGCTAGACTCTCCGTGCCATGCACAGCAAGGAAGCAGCCACAGCCCTCCCCAGGAGAGTTTCAAATGCAGACAAGACAGAAAGGACATGCAGACAGGAGAGCAGACCAGCACTGAGAGCAAGTAATGGATTGATGATGAATATCAGGAGAGGTGGAGGGAGGTGGGAAGGCTTTGGATTCCCTTTTTTTTTTTTTAAGATTTTATTGTGGCATTAGGGGAGGGAAACAGCGTTGGGGAATCAGAAAAGGGGAACAGACAAGTTGCTGTCCTTTTGTTCTTCAGCCTAGTTGTGGAGGACGTCGCTTCACTGGCCCATGTTGGTATTATCATTGCACTCTTCCCGTGTGAGGCAATCCGTCACTGGCCGCTGAACAGCTGCTCACAGTGGCTCACGGCAGCTCATGTCAGCTGCCGGCCACTCACACTGGCTGCCAGCCAAGCACAGTAGCTCATGGAAGCCCACTGCAGTCCCACTGCAGCCTACACCGTCACCTGTGACTCATGGAGCCCAGCTCCAGGTTGAGCTATTGTTCACCATCTTAGCTGTAGAGGGCAGTGTCACTGGCCCTCATGTGGGATCCAAACCACGGCCCTGCTGCTCAGAGCTGGTGTCCCAAGCCAGCTCATAACCAATGTGCCACATGGCCGGCCCTTGGATTCTCTTTTGTTCCATCTAAGATGGAAGGCTTCAAGGAGGAGGTGAGGTTTGGAGGAGTTTCTCTGCTCTCAGCACATCTCTCATTGGAAAGGAAGGCAAGGAGTGTGTCCCAGTTTTGGCAGAGCAGGACTCTGAAACCCAGAGAAGAAAAGTGACTCCTTGAAGGACACACAGAGCATCAGTGACAGAGCTGGACTAAAAACAGATCTCCTGACTTTTGGTCATGTGCTTTCATCACCAGATTCCTCTACCCACCCCCACAACCTGCAGTATGCGTGGAGGTGAGCAGGACACCCTCAAGGGACAGAAGTATTTTAAAAACAGCCTCACAGCCCCTTATGACCTCTCTTTATCTTCCCACCAGCTGGTTTCACATTTGCAAATTGGTTTTCATAACCTGTCTGGTAGGCAGAGGTTGTTGTCAGCTGTGCCCTGAAGCCCCAAACCAGGGTGTCAGGAAATCTTGGAATTGTGGCTTTCTCTGTCCATGACTTATGTGGGTGGGGGGCGGGGAGAGGTATTAAAAACACCCTGAAGACATATCATCTTGATGAGGCCCTCAATCTTGGGAGGTGCCCAGAGTTGGGACCCAGACTATGTTGGAGAGAAGGTACACCCCAGGACATACACAGACCAATGGCAAACTCAGAGCACTTTTCTTGGAGCGGGCACCTTCTAAGAACTTTACACGTATAATTTTATGGGGGTAGGTATGATTACTAGCCCCACTTACAGATAGGGAAACTAAGGCCCAGGGAGGTTAGGTAATTTGCCCAAGGTCACACAGCTAGTAGGTAGTGTGGACTTGGAATTCAAACTCAAGCTGTCTGGTTCTAAAACCATGTTCTTAATCACTCCAGGAAGAAGCATACATTTATTGAAGGTCTTACTGTGCACAGGAGGATGTTACATGCACATAGTTTGTACTATTATCCCCATTTTACAGGTGAGGAAACTAAGGCCCTTAGGTGAGGCCTCTCAATGTATAAAAAGGAAAGACACCTGAGAGAGTTCTTAGTGTATCTGCTCTGGAACAGCCCTCAGTAGCACCATCGCCACCTAGTGGCCTAGGACCTTAATTGCAGGCAGGCTACATCAGTGATGCTCCGTGTCAAGTTCAACGCGCAATTAAAAATTTTTTGTTTGTGTTTCGGTTTTTAATTTCTGTGTCCTGAGCAACAGAGAAATGTGGTTCACTACACTTCAGTATATAATAATCTTTTATACTGAAGATGTGATTGTGGACAGAGTTCGCCATTTGTAATGTCA